TGTATAGTGATGATTTGGCCGGCTCTCAACTTAAATATTATTCATATTAGTCTAATCTTGTTTTTTTTTTTTTAATTTATATTAAAATTGTTTTGCCATGACCTCCAGTTTGAATAAAATTGTAATATAATTTGAAACAGGTAATTTTTAACAATACATACTGAGTAAAATTTTAATCAACTGTTAGTTGTTTTTGATAGTCTTGTTGATGTTGAGCTGTCAACTGCGAAGTGTTCAATTTACAGTGTACTAGTCACTTTTCGTGTCACTAGTGCCGCTAGTGTCGGGAAAAATCGTGTCTTGGGGGTAGTAGAAGATTGAACCATATTGTTAATTTATAATATATGGAGGAAGATTCGAAAGCAATTTTTTATTCTCATAAGAATATTTGTGAGCATTCCTTGGCATTTTTAGGAGACTTCTAAGCGAGTTTTAGAAGAATGAATGGTTAGGGAATGCTGAAATGAATTCTTAGGATTTTTTTATGAGAATTTCAATGAATCTCTAGGAGCATTCCTAGGGAATTCACAGTAGTACATGATACAAAGGAATCTTGAAAAACAAAAAAAATCACGTGGTTTCATGTGAGAATGAATAAGAATGTTCAAGGCAATTTACTTCCTCTGTTTCGTAACCTGGTGCTTGATTTATTTAATCAATTTAAAATTTCATGGTTTGCCAAGGTCCTAGCAAACCCTCACATGCGAGATTTGAAAATATCTGTATAGATTCTGGGGAAGGGGAGGGGAAACCAAGTGAAGCCAAGTCTACCTATTGAACTGTCAAACTGGCTACCTATTCTGCAAAGATAACAAACATTACGATGCCATGAAAGGTCCACAAAAGGTATTGCAATAAAATATAAAATATAATCGAGAAATGGTCATAAACACACATTGAGCATTAAATTGTCATGCGATACGTTTGGTAATGATCAGTAATGAGAATTTCTACTATGTTTTGTAAAGATAATTTCTCAAAATCACTGATTTACTACAGCTGTTATTTTTTTTCTCGCTAGAAGTCATATAAAGTTGATGCAGAAGTCCTCTGTGAAAAGAAAGGGAATCTTTCGAAAACCGTGATGCGATTTCAACTGTTTTTCTCTTGGCGTAACTCATTATACACCGGATCTAGTCTTAGAGATCTCGAAATTTCGAATCCTACACTAGTAAAAATTCAATGATTATTTGTTTGTGTCCCACACATGAATCTCCGAGACTTTGAACATTTTTCTCTGTGCCTTAATTTTTCGTTCTGATTATCAATTCACGATCTTCATTTAAAATCTAAATTTAGTAAATCGTTTGTTTTCATAAAAATGAGGTAGATATAAGAGTGCAGAGTGAGGAAATGGATGTTAGAATTGGACCGTGTTTTGCGTATTAAATTAATATTTATTTTTCGAGAACACATTTATGGGATCCTAAAACTATTTGTTTTATTTTAAAGATGTTTTGCACGCTCTGATGGGTTTGTAAATTTATTAAATTTCTCGAATTGGCAGTCGCAATCACAATTAACGAAAGATTTTTAACTATATCTTTCCGATCAATAAATGTTATGTTATGTTATTTTTTTTTTATTGATTTAAAGTCACTATTTTAGTTATTTTAGTCACTACTAATATATCACACCTACTACCAGCCTTGGGTTTTCCACAATTATACAAAGTAGCTATTATGCCAAACGGAGTAGAGCCAACAGGGCTACATTTTGTTGTAAAGCTGCCATTTTGATACAGTTTAATTTTGCATAATTATTATAAACTGATACTTCGGTCAACTCTTTATTTCTCGATGTTATATACTTCATTATTCCTCCTTATCTCAATGATTTGAGCAGTCCCTCCAGACATACAGTTCTCTATATCTCGGTCGTTCTGTATGTCGATGGTCCCTAGAAAATATTCGGGTACAAATTAATCTCCATATGTCAATGGAAAAAATCTAGTTCACTAGTTTTTTTTACGTTTGAAGTATGTGGTCGAGTTTTGGTTTGGATACGGGATAAACAAATAATACACATTTTGATCCCAAAGTGCTTCTAGAATCTTACGAGTAGGGTAATAAATGATAGTTCTGGGGTTGTGTTCCATTTGATGAACTTTCGCTTAAATTTGATAGATGGATAATTTTCAAATAACCCTGCTCTCACAGAACACAAGTGGAATTTTGGATCAGGAAGTGGCTCCACTATTCATTGGCGAACACTAGCGCACCTAGCGGTAAAAGGCATCTTCTACCGGCAGTTAAGATATGCAGCATGCTATGATAGTGTGAGTGCGCATAGAAAGCCGGTGTGGAACGCTACCACAACGCATCGCTTGTTGAGCAGAAAAACGTATACCACTTTTTGATTCACCGATTTGTTTGCACTTCCCTTTCTGTTCTGTGTTGCTATTCTAGCAAATTTATTCCTGACAGACAAGCCATCAATCTTGACAAACATGTGCGTGAAAATCGGTCGATCAAGAACAAGGATTTTTAATTTATTTTCGAATCGTCAATGTTAAGTGAAAATTCATCAAATTTATGGAACAGCAACCACATCACGTAAGGTTAGGATGATAATCCGAATAGTTTGGTAAGAACATTCAAAATTGTTCAATATGCGGAATTCAAAGAAGGCATCTATTAGAAGGAAACTGCAATTTGGCAAGGCCCAAATTGACGTGCTTCGGTTTCGAGCTCTGCATAAGCTTTTCACGTTTGCTTTCGTATTTTATGTAGCAATCACATCAATGCGGCTAAAGAAAGCTTATTCGAAACGAAGCACCCGTCTGGCTGGGAATGTGTGCGTGTGAAGTGTCTGCGCCTTGCACAATCAATTTGACCGGTATAGAATGGAACTGCAGATTTGTCAGCTACCAGCCAGCACACACCGGTGAGCGTGAATGGAAAATTACTGAGACGGCGCTCTGCGTTTTCTCTTCCATATTGGTAGTTGTGAACTTTTGTTGCCTAGGAATGATGATCCAAGCTCGATAATTTATAGGTGTTGTATTATCAATCAGGTGGTATTACAATATCATCCGTACAATTTACACCAATGTTCAAATATATCTCTGACATCTGGCAGTAGGCTGCCATTCTGAAAAATTGTAGCATATTATCTCAATGTTGGACAACCTCATTTCTCAAGTAGCACACGGCCGTTGAATATAACTAATTTTTTGTGTTCTGTTTACAAGTCGCTAAAAACTTAGTTAGGATCTAGTGGGGCAAGAGTGCCACCCACCTTTACAATTGTACCACAATTGTACGTTGCATATATGCCAAATAGTGGCTATTTATAGGAGTTTGTACACCGTATTACAAGTGCATAACATTGCCTTCATAAATCAGCAATGTAATGCAAATTAAATCCCGTCAAAAGTTGTTAACGATTTTTTCAAACTGCCATGGGGCAAGAGTACCAACCCCTTTGGGGCAAAAAGGTCATGCGTCATAAATGGAGCAAAATCGATTAATGCTTGTTTATAAACATAACTTTGTGATTATAAAACAAATAAACCATGTATACCAATGAAATCATATGAAAACTATTGTACGGGAAATGGCTCTAATGTTGGCCTGTGGATCTAAGATTGGGCCCATCGCTAGAAATCTGCTATTTATCAATTTATCTAGATGAACCGGGTCATTGGGACGGTACTAATGGATATTTTTGGTCGCTATTGAAAATGTAGGCGATTACTGAATTTATGTATGGGTCCAAATTAGGGGCATTTAGGCCGACATTACATCGATTTCCCCTATATGATATTTTATGTAGCTGGTTTAGTCTAATTTGGCGAAAACTAGCTTACCAAAGACTTAAATGCGCAACGAAGCAATTATTTTAATTTTTGAAAAATTCTATTCATAAATGTAGGGGTGGTACTCTTCCCAGTGTGATGTTCATTTTAAAGAAGGTGATTTTGACCAATTAATGAAAATATTTACCTATTCTTTGTTATATTATTCAATTAATAGTGATGCGTGCATGCAGGATTGCAAGATTTTTTTTATTGGAATTTCGAAAAAGCTTATTTTATGATGTCTAATTATTATTAATAATTATACATAAATTCAGCAATCGAATAAATTTTTAATAGCGACCCAAAATATCCATTAGTACTGTCCCAATGACGCGTTCATCTAGATAACATTGATAAATAGCAGATTTCTAGTGATGGGCGCAATCTTAGATCCATAGAGCCATTTCCCCTACATGGGACAACAGTTATGTGTGACGGCAATCTACACAGAAAAAAGTAGTTGAATATTACATCCAAATAGCTGCACAGAGGTCATTCCGCTGGTTGTGTAATATAACGTTGTACGATGTACATCGATTTTGCGAACAAAATGACATCCATTGATGTAATGTTGTATCTGCTTTTTGCTATTACATCATTATTTCATACATCAGTTTGATTGTTGATCGATATTTTTTTTGTCTGTTTAGTTCAGACAATCGAGATTTCTAAACGCCAGATATATGTCATTGCGATAACCTATACTGCCGCTCTTCGCATGTCGGTCCCATGGCAAAAATCAGCAAGCCGAGAAAATCGCATTTTTAGCTTGATTCGTACCATTGCTTCTTATGTGATGAGACAATCAATTTGGCTGTCTTTCCAAACTTTTTCAGAACAAAGTTATTGAGTTCATCCAGTATTAAGAAAATATGAGTGATCAGCTACCATTTGCATTGTAAAACTCAGTTTTGACAAAAACTGCTATGGGACCGACATGCGAAGAGCGGCAGTATATCATCCTGTACCTTCATTTTGCCCCTTACTATCTCTTAACTTTTATGCCTTGTTAATATGACGTTCAGACTACAGAGCTATGAAAAAAGAAAATGTCAGCAAGATAGGCTTATAACATGTTATAACTGCTGGTCAGTGTTTTATGCTATTGATATCTTAGTTCATTAAACTTTTTTTTACTGATTTTACCCGTTTTTTAACCCGTTTTCTAACCCGTTCTCTTTTATCTAACTTATTCCAGCTGCGCACAGATGTAACTCCAAAGACTTGTGAAAACTTCCGCGCTCTCTGCACCGGAGAGAAGGGCTTTGGTTACAAGGGTTCCACATTCCACCGTGTGATTCCGAACTTCATGTGCCAGGGTGGTGATTTCCAGAACCACAACGGTACTGGTGGCAAGTCCATCTACGGCAACAAGTTCGAAGATGAGAACTTCATCCTGAGGCACACCGCCCCTGGCATCCTCTCGATGGCCAACGCTGGTCCCAACACCAACGGTTCCCAGTTCTTCATTACCACCGTGAAGACCTCTTGGCTGGATGACCGCCACGTCGTCTTCGGCAGCATTGTCGAGGGTATGGATGTTATTCGAAAGGTCGAATCCTTCGGAAACCAATCCGGCAAGACCTCCAAGCAGATTGTTGTGTCCAACTCTGGTCAATTGTAAATTTTTACTTCATAAAGTCGCAAATACCTTTCCTTTCTCTTTAAAATAATTCAAATAACTTTTCATTTTTGTTTCTAAAATGTCCTACATTCTCTCACACAATCCGAAAACGTTCACATGATTGCAAATCAGCCATGTCGAAGATAAGTTACAAAACCGTACAATCCAATGCATTTTTTTTGTTCCCCTGAGTCAATCGAAAATAACAATCGAATAAATTAAATTGTAATTGCCAGCTTAAAGAACGTTCCAAAAATAAACACTATGTGGTCGCGGATTGTACCGCGATTCTACTTTTATAACTAAAGAGACCGAGTTTGTTTACCTTTCACTCCCCCTTCAAAAGTAATGAAAAAATGCGGAAGTCTTTTCACTAGGATTACACGCGAGATTCATCGTCTTCTCGAGCAAGCGTGGTAAGATTTTAGACTGTTCTTTGAGGATAAATTCTAATACTTCTACTCAAGTGTGAACCTATAGAATCTATATGGTAAATGATTTAGCAATAAAGAGTCAAATAAATACTTCAATAAACAAATTTACTTCTTGTATCTTTTACAATTTGTGTAAGAGAAAACATTACTGCTTCTCATAACAGTCAGATGTTAGATTTGTTTTTCAGTAGGCTACCGGTAAACGATTTTATGTTGATGCAATCATTATTGAACGAAGGTTCAAAGTAAGAATTAACCTATCTATGATGAGATGTGATCCCTGTTATGTGTTTAAATTCCAACGATGGTCTTCAGAAGGCAGGTCCAGCCAGACTATTTTATTCAGATGCAAATTATGTGGCCTTGAAAACGTTGCATGACCGTTTGCAGCGATTATGATTGTCTTTTTGGGTCGATTTTTTCTCCTTTTAAATATTAAAACACGTTTACCTATATAATTAAACCCGGTTTTAAGGCTTAACTGACGCTGGAAGCATAATAGTCCTATGTGTATAGATGAATGTGATGTACAGATGAAAAATCGGCCTTTAGTGATAACAAAGGCCTATTCTGCGCCGCGAATGAGGGGAGGTGACAATATAGTCACCGCGAGCGAGGTGACTTTTCACTAGTGACAGCGAGTCACCTCACCTCACTCGCGGCGCAGAATAAGGGGTAAACTAACCAAATTTTTGTTTTGCAAAGTGGTATGATAATTTTGATAGCAAATCTTGAACTTTTCCCATGCAAATTACCAAAATTTATCTCCGTCCTCCGTAACTCGATATCCTCCCTAACATGATAGTTCCTTCAATATCGAGCCTGAAAGTGTTGACTGTAGTATGTCCATGGACCCTACAGGAAAAACACCGAGTAGAAAATGAAGCAATAAATTCCATGGTGGTATATTTCTGATCTGCAATTCAGTGCCAACATTTCAAAGGGGCGTAATTGCTTTTATAAACAATGGCTTTTGCCGTCGATTTCTCGCAAATAAAAGCCCACCCCTCCAAATTAGAAATACTAGAAGGAGAGATGAGCGGAGAGAATGTTTTGAGCCAAATGAACTGTCAAAATCTGAGCCAAACGAACATTTCCCATTAGATTTTTTCCGAGGATCTTATTCTTACTAGAATAAATTTGAGAGTATTGCAATCGATCAGAAATTCAATCACCTTTATGTTTCGTGTGCTTCTCAAATTCAACTAGTTTTTTTAATCAAAAACAATATTCTAACTCTATTGATTAATTGATCTTCGTCGGTTAATGAATGGCACCAAAAAACGTGCAAAATATTGCAATGCAATCAATTATTATTTTGCATGTAAATCGAATCAAAAATACAAGTCATTTGAAATGCTAGCTTTTTAGCAAGGGTTGCAAGATAATTTAGGAACAAATCCCTGGTGCCGAATTGTATTTTGTTTTCTCCGCCTATCTCTCCCTCTGAGTATTTCTACTCCAAATTACCAATGCTAGCTGGGACAGGAAACATTCTTCTACCTGCTGATGTCATTCATTTTCATGAGTGAGCTTTCATTCGCAAGAAATCGAAGACGAAAGTCATTGTTTACAAATGTAATTACGCCCCTTTGAAATGTTGGCACTGAATTGTTTTTTTTTCCTTGATTTGTTTTCCGTCGATCTTGTTTTCCGTGCTGAGCACCAATGCTACCAATGACGTTTATATAAGGTCTTAGCCAACAGGCAGCTTGCTGGTGTTAAAAGCAAAAATGTTGTAAACATTGCTGAACATCTCCGAACAGATCAGTACTAACATTTGAAAACGGCGCAAAAGCCATTTGTAAACAAATGGTTTGTGGGCCCTTTACTCGCTACTCGAAGTACACCCACGCAAACCAACAGCATCGTCAGGAAGGGGAAGATTTCCCCTACCCGATGTAGCTGTTGTGTTGCGTGGGTGTACTTCGAGTAGCGAGTAAAGGGCCCACAAACCATTTGTTTACAAATGGCTTTTGCGCCGTTTTCAAATGTTAGTACTGAGATAGAAATTAAAGCCCTACAGTAAAAGCAACCGGTGAACACCCCGGTCCCTTTCAAATTGTATCATTATTTATGTACGGTCCTTATATTTGAAATGACGTTTCACATTCATCTAGTGATGGCCGATTTTCATTTGAATAATCGATTAATCGATTAACGAACCTAAAAGTAAAATATTTGTAATCGGTTATATCACAAACGAAGTGACAGACGACTTACTGGCGAAGAAATCCATTTAAATAATGTGGTTCACTGTAATAGAATTTTCTTGGAAGCTTGTGCCATCATCCACCAGATGGGTTAGTTTTTTTGTTTTGATTTGAACAAAGTTGATTTTGTGTACAATGATTCTTTGACAGTGTGCAAAGAGTGCGTATCATTTTGTCATTTTTTTATGCATTTCAGTTTTGAGTAGAGTGAAAGAGATAGAACCAAAATATTCTAGTACATTTGGTGAAAATGCTAGTTCAATCCAATAGTAGTGTTGCCATGTGGTACAATCCAGTAGTAGTGGTGTTGCCATGTGGTACACTGAAAAATTGCAATAGAAGGTTAAAGGGTGATACGGTCAAAATTTGGTCAATATCAACTTGACGTATTTCTTTCAATTTTGCATTTAAAAAACCTGAACACCCCTCATTTTGAAGGTGTGTGTGTGTAGAATGTTGCTCCTATTTTGATTTTGGAATTCACTCTTCAGTTGTCAAAATGCCGTCCAAGCAAGAAGAGCAGCGTATCAAAATTTTTCTCGCGCATCGCGAAAATCCGCGTTACTCGCACGCAAAGTTGGCAAAATCGCTAAAAGTTGCCAAATCAACCGTTACAAATGTAATTAAAGTGTTTGGGGAACGTTTGTCGACAGCCAGGAAGTCTGGATCGGGGGGAAATCGAAAACCGGAAGCCGCTGAGACGACAAAGAGAGTTGCCGGTAGTTTTAAGCGAAACCCTAACCTCTCTCTCCGAGATGCCGCAAATAAGCTGGGTGTATCGTCTACAACCGTGCATCGAGCCAAAAAACGAGCCGGACTATCGTCTTACAAGAAGGTAGTGACTCCAAATCGCGATGATAACAAAATACGACGGCCAAAGCGCGATCCCGGAGGCTGTACACGACGATGCTGACGAAGTTTGACTGCGTGGTAATGGACGACGAAACCTACGTCAAAGCCGACTACAAGCATCTTCCGGGACAGGAGTTTTATACGGCAAAAGGAAGGGGAAAGGTAGCAGATGTTTTCAAGCACATGAAACTGTCAAAGTTCGCAAATAAATATCTGGTTTGGCAAGCCATCTGTACCTGTGGCTTGAAAAGCAGCATTTTCATAGCTTCCGAGACTGTCAACCAAGAAATTTACGTGAAAGAGTGTTTGAATAAACGTCTGCTGCCTTTCCTGAAGAAACACGGTTGTTCCGTACTGTTTTGGCCGGATTTGGCATCTTGCCATTACGGTAAAAAGGCCATGGAGTGGTACGCCGCCAACAACGTGCAGGTGGTTCCCAAGGACAAGAACCCTCCCAACACGCCAGAGCTCCGCCCAATTGAGAAATACTGGGCTATTGTCAAGCGGAACCTAAAGAAGACCAAAAAAACTGCTAAGGGCGAGCAGCAGTTCAAGGCAAACTGGCTTTCTGCGGCGAAGAAGGTGGACAAGGTGGCTGTACAAAATCTGATGGCAGGGGTCAAGCGTAAGGCCCGGCAATTCGGATTTGGAAAAGCGGAAGCCTAACTGAATATTTTTCCTGAATTTTATACTAATTGAACTTGAAAAAGAAATTTAATTTGATTTTTTAAATAAACGATTTCACCGATTTACACGCGTTTTCCCTTGACCAAATTTTGACCGTATCACCCTTTAGTCACCAAAGTTTTCGAGCCGCTCCGTCTGTCACTTCGTTTGTGGTTATATCATGCTGATATAAGCATTAACATCTCCAGAGGATCATCACCGATCGTTTCAAACATGTGCTGCACTCTCATTGGTGGAAAAATGGCAGCACAGCGAACAAAAAAAAATCGATTAGTTGTTAATCGAGTAATTAAAAAATGGGACATCTCTGATTTTGGTGTGATTGTTTTGATAAAAATGAGCGCAACATTTCATCTCTACCGAGGGGGCAACAAAACCACAAAATTACCTTGAATACGGGGGTATTCATTGGATGAAAGGGACCGTGAAAGAGGACACTAAAATAGAAAGTTTTTCTTCCGACAGTTTCATCTTAGTATTCATCTTTGGTAAAAGTATGGACGACTGTCACCACAAATCTGAAAAAAAAGCTGTTCCAATCGAGCAAAGCTGTGCAATTTGACGGTTCGATTGGCACAACTTTTGGCAAGTGTCCATACTTTTACTGTAGGGCTTTAATAGATCAGTGCACGGTCCCTAACCTCACTTTTTGCTTCCTATCATTTTGTCTGTGAGTAAAAGAGATGGCACCGAATGGGAGCCAAAACAAACCACCCAAAACTGTCAAAATTTACGGGAGAGGGAAGAGTGCGGCAAATCTTCGTGCACTGATCTATAGAAATACGTCACTGCCAACATACTGAGAACAGATAGAAATACGTCACTGCCAACAGCTGTTTCGTGTAAAAAGATAAACATTGCAATAAAATACGAACACCACTAAACATTTGTACATTCCACTAACATCAATAAGCCCTTTGGCCCAGACCTTATATAAACGTCATTGCAATGCTACCAACGCCAGGAAGGTAGCTCCCACACCTGGACCCTGGGTATCGACCCATCAACTCATGAACCGGGGACCAACGGCTTTACTTCGTTTCCGAAGGAAGGCGTTATCAGAGATGTTATGCCTCAGAACATCCCGGCGGCGCCGACTGGGGTTGAATCCAAGCCTGCTG